CATGACCTGGCTGAAGTCGGACGCTTAACCGACTGCGCCACCCAGGCTCCCCAGGATGAATATTTTCTTAAAGATGGTGCCTTCGGGGCGCCTGGGTGGCTCAGTTGGTTGGGCAGCCGACTTCGGCTCAGGTCATGATCTCGCGGTCCGTGAGTTTGAGCCCCGCGTCGGGCTCTGTGCTGACAGCTCGGAGCCTGGAGCCTGTTTCAGATTCTGTGTCTCCCTCTCTCTGACCCTCCCCCGTTCATGCTCTGTCTCTCTCTGTCTCAAAAATAAATAAACATTAAAAAAATTAAAAAAAAAAAAAAAAGATGGTGCCCTCAAGGGCACCTGGGTGGGTCAGTCGGTTGAGCATCCAACTTTGGCTCAGGTCATGATCTCATGGTTCATGATTGGAGCCCCATGTTGGGCTCTGTGCTGACAGCTCAGAGCCTGGAGCCTGCTTCAGATTCTGTCTCCCCCCCCCCCCCCCCGTGCCCCTCCCCTGCTTTTGCTCTGTCTCTGTCTCTCTCTCAAAAATAAATAAACATTTAAAAACTTAAAAAAAAAAAAAAAAAAGATGGTGCCCTCAAGCCGAGCCACATAATATGTGTGGACGTGAGACATACTTCCTGAGTTCAAAATCCCCTTCCACTTCATCTAGTAGCCCTCTAGCCAGGAAGTTACCTCAGTGCCTCAGTTTTTCATCTATAAGATGGAGATAATTCTACTTTCACCATAGGACTGTCATGACCATTAGTTGCCTTGCCCTAATTATTATACAACAAATATAAATTGTCATTATTTTAAGAGTTTAAAAACCAAAAATTTAGTATTCAAAATCTTCAAAAAACCACACAATCCACGGGGCGCCTGGGTGGCTCAGTCGGTTGAGCGTCCGACTTCGGCTCAGGTCATGATCTCACAGTTCGTGTGTTTGAGCCCTGCATCAGGCTCTGTGCTGACCACTTGCTCAGATTCTGTGTCTCCTCTCTCTGCCCCTGCCCTGCTCACGCTTTGTCTCACTCTGTTTCTTAAAAATAATAAATGTAAAAAAAAAAACAGAACAATCCTCACAAAATGTCAAGTTTATCAACTACGAATTTAGGGCCTGTAGATATTCTGCTACTGTACATAATCATCATATTTTGGATGGATGTGAAGTGACTTCGGTTTTTAACTCTTCAATGAAGAAAATTTCAAATCTATACAAAAGCAAAGAGATTCATACACTGAATCTCCATCTACCCATCACCCAATGTTAGCTGCTTATCAACAGATTTCCAATCTTGTTTAATTTTGTAACTTTCCCTGTAAACAGAGTGACTTTTTTTTAAGTTTAAGAGAGAGAGCATGAGAGAGAGAGAGAGAGAGAGAGAGAGAGAGAGAGAGAGAGAGAACCCAAGCAGTCTCCTCATAGCCAGCAGAGCCCAATGTGAGGCTCAATCACACAAAACATGAGATCATGACCTGAACCAAAATCCAGAGTTGGACACTCAGCTGACTGAGCCACCCAGGCAACCCCTACGTAACTTTTTAAAATTCATTTATAAGTCACTTTAATTTCACAAAAAATTAAATATGTGTATATATCTCTAGAACTAACAGCTTTTTTTTTTTTTTTAAGTTTTCCTATATTTGTTTTGAATGTAAGACCTCAGACTGAGATCTTAATGATGGCAGTTGAAAAAGTATGGATTTTGGAGCCATCTCTAGATTGGGTAAAAATTCCGGTTCCACCTCTCTCTAGCTATGTGATCAGAAGCACATCACTTACTTTCCTCTGGGCCTCAGTTTTTTCATCTGCAAAGAGGAGCACACCAGTAGTCAGGACCCACTTTCCAGGGTCACTTTGAGAAATAAATAGCAAAACAATGGTGAGTAATAGCTATAATTTACTAAACAAGCCAGCCACTGCCCTAAGCACTTTTCTGGTAGTATTGTCAGTCCTTGGCACTTGGCACTTGCCTGGTCCCCAGCAAATGTCACCTTTCAGTCCTTGGAGCAGCAGGCTTTACTACAGTAAAGTTGACCAAGTGCTGGCGCTGGTTATGGCAGGCTGGTGAGAGAAGGTAGTACCTTACCAGACACAGTCCTCCACAAAGTGGGGGCAGCAGGGGTGGCTGAAGAAAGCCTTCTCGATTTACTAACCAGTCCAGTTTGTAGGGAAGATGACAGATGGAAAAGGAGGAAAGAATGAGGATAAAAGGGAGTGTAGGGTCAGGAAGAGACGAAAGTACCATGTTTTCTTTTGTTTTTTTTAACTGTTATTTTTAAAGTTTATTAATTTGTGAGTGAGAGAGAGAGCACGGGGGAAGGGGCAGAGAGAGAATCCCAAGCAGGCTCCCTGCGGTCAGGGTGGAGCCTGACAAGGGCTTGATCTCATGAACAGTGAGATCATGACCTGAGCCAAAATCAAGAGTTGGAGGCTTAACTAATTGAGCCACCTCTGAAGTACCACGCCTTTTGTCTCTCTCCAGTGCTCTCACACATTGGCTTTTCTGGCTTCACACAGCCCCTCCCAGAAGTTATCACTCTGCACTTACCTTTGGGGCTCAGTAGCTGGGAATGTCGGGATGGGATGGCGTAGAGAAGCAGACAGGTGACCTGAAGTTAGCCCCAGAATGACCATGGCCCCATTGTTCAGGAAGACAGTTCCCAACACCCCCAAGTCCTCTGCAGTTCCCATTACTGTTTGATGGGCCTTTATACATTTAGTCTGCAAACAGGGCTCCCTCAGATGGGCCCATTAGAAGAGTCCTTACCACCTCAAGGGGTATGAAGGCTGCCTGACCTTGCAAACCCAGACATTTTCCAGAAAAGGCTCAGAACAGCGATAAGCTGGGAACGGATTCGAACAGTTAGGAAGGAGTGATTCTAAAATCAATGTTTATTAGCAAAGCTTTCCCCTTTTTTCTTCTGTTTCTCTCTCCAGAAGACTTTGTGTCTGAACTGGGCTTCAAATTCAAAGTAGGAAATCTACTAATTCTTCTCAAAGGGGTCAGTGGATTCATAACAATCAAGCGCTTGGGTGGCTCAGTCGGTTGAGCATTTCACTTTGGCTCAGGTCACAATCGAACAGTTCAAACGGTTCAAACCTACATCAGGCTCTGTGCTGATAGCTTCAGATTCTGTGTCTCCCTCTCTCTCTGCCTCTCCCCCACTTGCTCTCTCTCTCTTTCTCTCTCTTTCAAATGTTTTTTAAGTAGGAGATGAATTTAAAATGCATATTCCCAGGTCCTGCCTCCAGAATTCTAATTCAGAGGGATCAAGAATCAGCTGTTAAAAAATAAGTGCCCAAATGATTCTCTTTCAGGTGTTTTTGGACATTTCTCCAAAACTGGCCTAAAGACCATTGCATCAGATGAGTCCCCGGAGTCTTGTGAAAAATACAAAGTCCGTAGATATCCTGAATTTTAATCTGCAGGGGCAGAGTTGGTTGGGGGAGGATGAAGAAGGAAGTCCAGGATTCTGCATTTTATTTTTTTTTTAATTTTTTTAACGTTTATTTATTTTTGAGACAGAGAGAGACAGAGCATGAACAGGGGAGGGGCAGAGAGAGAGGGAGACACAGAATCTGAAACAGGCTCCAGGCTCTGAGCTGTCAGCACAGAGCCCGACGCGGGGCTCGAACTCATGGACCGTGAGATCATGACCTGAGCTGAAGTCGGATGCTTAACCGACCAAGCCATCCAGGTGCCCCTGGGATTCTGCATTTTAAAGAGACTTCCCAGGTGAAGGTTTACTCCTGAATTTTAAGAACCACCCACCTAAGGAATAACAAAATGTTCTCTTAGATGGGCTGTGGCCTGGAGGACCTACTTCTGCTGAATCTCATGAAGCTACTTTGGGTGTATGTTCATGAGGAAACCACACCCCCAAGAACTCAACTAAAGGAATGAGAAAAAGACAAGGTACTGAGAATAGGAATTAAGTAATAACCAACAATGGTTCCACATCAAAGAATTTTTATAAAGTCTCTCCAGTAGGAACACTGCAACACATTGGTCCTCTATTCATCCATACTTGGCCTGCAGTGCAAATTTTCTTACATGTAGATGCTCTATAAATACCCATTAAGTTGACTTGAATGTATTCCCTTTGGAGAGCCATACTTTCAACAAGGACTTCCATAATTTTTTCCTAGTGGTGTTTGGATAAGCATACATGTATGTACAGGCAAGGGGCAGAGAGGTGATGGTGAACAAAAGTGGGTTTGATAAAGTAAGGAAGATAAAACTTAATGAGTTGCTAAGCAGACTTCAGTTGTAAGTTAGGGAAAGCATAACTACAAGTTCTAATTTGGGTTTACTTCCTCTTTTGCTGCAGAATCTTAAGCAAGCTACTTTCATTTCTCTCTTTTTTTTTTTTTTTAAGGAATATGCCTTGTGAATTATTTTAAGAAGTAAGTAATCAGAGATTGGAAAGCACCTTTTCCTCTTAGCCAAAATTGTGAAGAGAATCTCCACCATCTGGCATCTAGGCCAGTTCAATGAGACAAGTAGTTTCTTTCTTTCTTTCCTTCTTTCTGTAAACTAAAGATCATTTAGTAGATGTTTATTGAGGATTCGTTATGTGCTAGAAGCTATGACTTCTGGGATAGCAAACAAGATACAGTTACTACCTACTATTATTGAAGAAGTGAGGAAATCAAGTGAAAAGTAGAAGTTGAAGGATCAGGGAAAAATCACTGGCCAGCCTTCCTTTAGTGCTGGCAGAGGTGGGCAACATGAAGCTTGCAAATTCATCTGGGAATCCAGGTGCTTCAGCTATCAGAGTGGAACAGCCCAGCCTGGAGTCACTTCTGGTCAACAGGGCCTGCACTTGACAAAAGAGTCTGGTATGGGGTAGGAGGGAGCAAGAACATACGGAACGTGCCACCAGTGTGGTAGAGAGTGGGCACAACTGAGATGGGCAAACCTCTCTGTGTGTTTCTTCCAGAGCATGGCTGCTCTTTCTCTACTACCTACCAAATCGCATGCTAGTTTCTTTTTTTTTTTTTTTTTCCAACTCTAATGCAAATCACACAAGGAAGGGGATTCTGGGAACTGTAGTTCTAATTTGTCCAAAGTAACACCATATATATAAGGAGTTGGGTTGAGAAGTGATGAAAGTTGACCAGGAGGCCAATGCATGGTTAGAGGTGACATAATCAGGATGCCTGGTGGCTCAGTCAGTTGAGCATCTGGCTCTTGATTTCAGCTTAGGTCATGATCCCAGGGTCATGAGATCAAGCCCCATGTTGGGCTCCATGCTGAGCATGGAACATGCTCTCTCTCCCTCCCTCTGCCCCCCACCCCCACTCACATTTTCTCTCTCTCTCTCTCTCTCTCTCTCTCTCTCTCTCTCTCTCTCTCTCTCTCCCTCAAATAAAAAAATTTAAAGGTGACACAGTCAATGCAAAGATTCTGAGCAAAAGTGCTTATTGAGATCCCAAGCTGTTTGAGACTCCTCAGGACTTCTTAAAGTCCTGTGTCAGCACTAGAATTGTCCCACTTAGAGCAAACTGGTTGCATAAAGGGAAGTCAGCTCATAAATGTAAGTCTGATACCCCAACACAGTGACCACAGGTGCAACAATTACAGATGATCACCGAGTTTTTATCTCAGTGTGACACAACAGCTATTAACAATTACTTTAAGATTTGTTTTTTTTTTATCAGACTCAGGTTTACAAGGTACATAATGCTTATCTGTTCAAATATTTATCAATGCTTACTTTACATCACACAGAAGAAGTGAAACATCTTACTAGTCTCTGCATGAACTGGACACACGCCCTTCTACCTGTTCTTGCATACAACACCTCAGATTTCCTACCCAAGCATACAAGATTCCCCACAAGTATACAATAAATAAAACCTGGTGATAAGGGGGAGAAAAAGAGACTCTGAGACACAAGCCCTCAGGTTTCATAGCCCTACTCCAGAAGGATTGGTCATAACTCCTTAAATTAAGATGATGTAGTTAAAAATAGCAGAACTTCCAGGGAACTAGTTTAAATAAATAGGAGGATTTAAAATGAGGAGACTTGCTTATCTCACAAGACAGAAGGGCAAGGAATGCAGCCAGCCCTCAGACAGGAGCTGAAATCAAGAAGTAGAAAGCCAACCCTCTCTCTCTGCCCCTCCACCGCTTGTGCTCTGTCTCTGCCTCTCAAAAATAAATACATGTTAAAAAAAATGTTTTTTAATCAGGGGGGTCTACTAGGTGACTCGGTTGGTTAAGCGTCCAACTTCAGCTCAGGTCATGATCTCACGGTTTGTGGGTTCAAGCCCTGTGTCAGGCTCTGTGCTGACAGCTCAGAGCCTGGAGCCTGCTTAGGTTTCTGTGTCTCCCTCCCTCTCTGCTCCTCCCTCACTTGTGCCCTCTCTCTCTCTCTGCCTCTCAAAAATGAATAAAGGTTAAAAATTTTTTAAAAAATAAAAAGAAGTAGAAAGCCAGGAACACTCCACTCCATCTCATTGTCTGCTTTCTCTTCTGCATTTGCTCCTTCTCCCTGCAAACTGATTTCTCTGTTCCTCAAAGCACAAGATGGAATACAGCTGCCCCTCTTGAGTTGGAAGTGATAGTTTGAAGCAAATGGAGACTGCCTTTCTTTCAGTCCTAATACCAAATAGGGAGAGAATCTGATTCAGTATTCTCTCCTTGGACCAATTAGCCTTGGTGGTAATGGGAAATCAGGAAGGCTTCAGTACAGACCTGCAGCCAGGACTCCATCTCAATGGGTAAGGGAGCACCGGTGTCAACACTCTGACTTTACTTATAGAGGATACAAGGTTAATCTAATGCTAGCCAAATGTACAGAACTAAATGACTTCCTAGGGAGACTCCAGAAGTCAATCCTACTCTTCGACTTCCTGCAGTGACTAGAACAGCAGGAGCCAATGCAAAGTCAGAAACCTAATAATATGAGCATTGGGGACACTGTAATCAAGTCAGGATTAATGAAATAAAATATGTCCAAGAGTGTAGCACACACTGTTGATTCCCTTCCAAAACCATTTCCCTGCTTCCTTGCTGTTGCACCTCTAGTTTTGTTCAGGTATCTAAGCTCCTCCATTTGGTCATGTGCTTGTGTGCCAGTCACTTCCAAAGCTCTTAAAGGTGAATCCTGATTAAACCAACCAAGGTAGTACCATTCCCTTTATCTTTGATTTAGGCTTGGGCATGTGATATATATTCTCACCAATGAAACATGAGGTAAAATCATCTGGGTGTTTCTGAGAAAGGTTTCTTTATTCCTAGAAAAGATATCAATGAAGAGATTATCTTTTCCTCCTTTATACTTTCATGCATCTGGATATTGGATACAACCTGGAATTGCTCTCACCATCTTAGGACCATAAGGAGAACTAACTAAGGGAAAAAAGAGAAGGGAAAAGTCTGGGGTCAATGGTAACATAATTTATCAATGAATTAACTCTCCTTGGAGCCATTCTGCATTTGGACTTCTTGTATGATATAAATTTTATTTTTTAAGCCACTTCAAGTTGATTTTCTTTTTTTTTTTTTTTTTTTAAATTTTTTTTTTCAACGTTTATTTATTTTTGGGACAGAGAGAGACAGAGCATGAACGGGGGAGGGGCAGAGAGAGAGGGAGACACAGAATCGGAAACAGGCTCCAGGCTCTGAGCCATCAGCCCAGAGCCCGACGCGGGGCTCGAACTCCCGGACCGCGAGATCGTGACCTGGCTGAAGTCGGACGCTTAACCGACTGCGCCACCCAGGCGCCCAAGTTGATTTTCAACTGCAGCTGAAGGCAGCCCAACCAAAACAGAGGATATGGTGGGAATTAAGGTGAAAAAGACAAGCAGATAAGATCCCACATACAGAAACAGGAGTCAGAATGAAGTCAGACTTCTCAGCAACAACCATGAAAGCTAGATGATGAAATTTTGAAGGAAAAGATTTTCCAATATAGAATTTTCAGACAGCCAAATTATCACTTAAGTATGAAAGTAGAATAGAAATATTTTAATAAACAAAAGGTCTCAAAAATTATACCTGCACTGAATTCTTTATAGGAAACCAGAAAGAATGTGCTTCTCCAAAATGAGGGAGTAAACCAAAAAAGAGAAAGACATGGAATCCAGTACACAAGAACCTCCCTTAGGAGAGGAAGACATGAAGTACAGTAGACAAGACATCCTTCAAAAACGGAAGACATGGAATCCAGTAGACAAGACCAGACCTCTATCACGAGGGAAGACAGGTATAGTAAATAAGACCTTCATCATGGGAAGTGAAGAAGGAAGATAATCATGGGCAAACTTTGAGGGCACTTCTCTAAGGGGCAAAGCACCTTTGGCATCTGGCACAATGTGTGGACAGGAAAGATGTAAATGTGGGTGTGTGTACTAAAAGAGTGAAATTTTCAGTAGTAGAAAGTCTATAGATACCTAAATTTTTTATTGTTTTTTTATTTTAATTCCAGTATACTTAACATACAATGTTATGTTAGTTCCAGGTGTCTAAGATAGTGTGATTCAACAATTCTATACATTACGCAGTGCTCATCATGATAAGTATATTCTTAATCTCCTTTACCAGTCACCCATCTCCCCACCCACCTCTCCTCTGGAAACCATCAGTTTGTTCTCTATACTTAAGATTCTGTTTCTTGGTTTGCCTCTCTCTCTCACTCTCTCTTTTTTCCTTTTGCTTGTTTTGTTTCCTAAATTCCACATATGAGTGCAATCATGGTATTTATCTTTCTCTGACTGACATTTCTCTTAGCGTAATACTCTGTAGCTCCAACCATGTTGTTGTAAATGGCAAGATTTCATTATTTTTTATGGCTCAATAATATTCCATTATAGCAGGTGTCCCTTTGAATTAGTGTTTTCATATTTTGGGGGTAAATATCCAGTAGTGCAATTACTAGATAGCAGGTAGTTCTATTTTTAATTTTTGAGGAACTTCCATACTGTTTTCCACAGTGGCTGCACCAGTTTACATTCCCACCAACAATGCCTGAGGGTTCATTTTTTTCCACGTCCTCACCAACGTTGTTTCGTTTTGTTTTGTTTTGTTTTGTTTTGTTTTGTTTTGTTTAATTCTTGAGAGAGAGGGAAAGTGCACAAATAGGGGTGAGACAGAGAGAGGGAGAGAGAATCTTAAGCAGGCTTCATGCCTGGCACAGAGCCCAACACATGGCTTGATCTCATGACCATGAGATCATGACCTAAGCCAAAATTAAGAGTTGGATGCTTAACCGACTAAGCCATCAGGTGCCTGTCTTGTGTTTTTTATTTTAGCCATTCTGACAGGTGTGAGGTTGTATCTCATTGTGGTTTTGTTTCGTATTTCCCTGATGACAAGTGATGATGAGCATCTTTTCATGTGTCTGTTGGCCATCTGGATGTCTTCTTTGGAAAAATGTCTGTTCATGTCTTCTGCCCATTTTTTAATTGGATTATTTGTTTTGGGAGTGTTGAGTTGTGTAAATTATTTAGATATTTTGGATACTAACCCTTTATTGGATACGTCATTTGCAAATATCTTCTCCCATTCAGCAGGTTGTCTTTAATTTTGTTGATTATTTCTTTGGCTGTACAGAAATTTTTTATGTTGAAAAAGTCCCAGTAGTTTAGTTTTTCTTTTATTTCTCTTGCCTCAGAAGACATATCTAGAAAAATGATGCTATGGCTAGTGTCAGAGACATTACTGCCTATGCTGTCTTCTAGGACTTTTATGGTTTCAAGTCTCACATTTAGGTCTTTTTTTTTTTTTAACTTATTATTTATTTATTTATTTTGAGAGAGAAACAGATCGAGCAGTGGAGAGTTAGAAAGAGAGGGAGGGAGAGAATCCTAAGCAGGATCCACACAGTCAGCCCAAGGCCTGATTTGGGGCTCAAACTCATGAACCACAAGATCGTGACCTGAGTTGAAACCAAGAGTCGGACACTCAATCAGCTGAGCCACCCAGATGCCCCCACATTTAAGTCATTAATCAATTTTGAGTCTATTTTTGTGTATGGTATAAGAAAGTTGTCCAGTTTCATTCTTTTGCATGTAACTAACCAGTTTTCCCAACACCATTTGAAGAGACTGTCTTTTTCCCTTTGGACATTCTTTCTACTTTGTCTAAGACTAATTGACCATATAATTGTGAGTTTATTTCTGGGTTTTCTATTTTGTTCTATTGATCTATGTGTCTGTTTTGGTGCCAGTACTGTGTAATGTTTTGATTACTACAGCTTTGTAATATAACTTGTAGTCCGGAACTGTGATAACTCCAGTTTTGTTTTTCTTTTTCAAGATTGCTTTGGCTATTCAGGGTCTTTTTGTGGTTCCATACAAATTTTAGACTGTTTCTTCAAGTTCTGTGAAACTGCTATTGGTATTTTGATGAGGATTACATTAAATCTGTAGATTGCTTTGGAGAGTATAGACAGTTTAACAATATTTTTTCTTCCAATCCATGAGCATGAAATGTCTTTCTGTTTCTTTGTGTTGTCTTCAATTTCTCTCATCAATGTTGTATAGTTTTCAGAGTACAGGTCTTTCACCTCTTTGGTTATGTTTGTTCCTAGGTACTTTTTTATTTTTGGTGCAGTTGTAAATGGAATTATTTTCTTTACTTCTCTTTCTGCTGTTTCATTATTAGTGTGTAGAAATGCAACAGATTTCTGTACATTGATTTGTATCCTGTGACTTTACTAAATTCATGTATCAGTTCTAGCAGTTTTTTGGTTTTCTATATATAGTATCACGTCATCTGCAAATAGTAAAAGTTTTACTTCTTCCTTACCGATTTGGATGCCTTTTATTTCTTTTTATTGTCTGAATGCTGTGGCTAGGACTTCCAGTACTGTGTTGAATAAAAGTGGTGAGAGTAGACATCATTGTCTTGTTCCTGATTTTAGGGGGAAAGCTCTCAGTTTTTCCCCATTGAGTATGATGTTAGTTGTGGGTTCTTCATACAAGGCCTTTATTATGTTGAGATATGCTCCCTCTAAACCTCCTTCATTTAGGATTTTTATCATGAATGCATGTTGTACTTTGTCAAATACTTTTTCTGTATCTATTGAAATGATCATATGGTTTTCATCCTTTCTTTTATTGATGTGATATATCATGTTGATTTGTGAATATTGAACCACCTTTGCATCCTGGAAATAAATCCCACTTGATAATGGTGAGTGATTTTTTTAATGTATTATTGTATTCCGTGTACTAGTGTTTTGTTGAGGATTTTTGCATCTATGTTCATCAGAGATACTGGCCTTTTTAGTGGTATCTTCATCTGTTTTTGCTCTAAGGGAATGCTGGCTTTGTAGAATGAATTTGGAAGTTTTCCTTCCTTCCTTTCTATTTTTAGAATAGTTTGAGAAGAACAGCTATTAACTGTTCTTTATTTTTTTTATTTAAAAAAATGTTTTTAATGTTTATTTATTTTTGAGAGAGAGACAGAGCATGAGTGGGGGAGGGGAAGAGGGCGAGGGGACATAGAATCCAAAGCAGGCTCCAGGCTCTGAGCTGTCAGCACAGAGCCTGACACAGGACTTAAACCCATGAGATGTGAGATCATGACCTGAACTGAAGTCAGACGCCCAACCAACTGAGCCACCCAGGTGCCCCAGCTGTTCTTTAAATGTTTGGTAGAATTGGCCTATGAAGCTGTCTGGTCCTAGACTTTTGTTTGTTGGGAAAATTTTTTATTGAGTAGCAACTTAAGCATTTTATTTAGAAATGAGGAGGAAGATATGAAAATAATCAACAAGAGTGAAAGTCGTAGCCTGCAAGGAGAAGGAAATTGTGATGGACAGGAGACTGATCCACACTCTTTGTTTTGCTATGGGCATTTTAAACTATGACTTAAAACATTTTAATGACAGGATATAAAAAGAAACAATCATTGCAAAAGGAAAAGTAAGGAAGGCTTAGGTGAAAAGTGTAGATAGAAATGTGAAATATGAAAAATAAAATTAAAAAAAAAAAAAGAAATGTGAAATATGGTCCCAGGGAATAGGGAGTGAATGGCCTCTGTTGGTTGTAGCTGGTTGCATAGCAGGAGGTCCTTGAATGCCATCTAAGGAAGGCAAATTTTATCATGGAAGAAATAGGATTTAAGGAGTTTCAGTGTGGGCAGATTAATCCTTGGAAAAATGGAACTTCCTATGTGGCAGGATAGGGGTGGTTTGGAGATGTAATAACTAGGGACAAGAAAACCAGTTACAAAGTTTTTCACAAAGTAACCAAGTCAGAATGGAAGGCTGGAACCAGAGTGGTGGTGAAGAGAAGCAGAACAACTATGGGGAAACTGAGAAGAAAAGGCGTGATGACTTATTAGATGTAAGCACTATTGAGGGAGGAAGGAAACAGAAGACTCTGGTTTGAGCAGTAGGGAGATCCCAGTGGCAGCCCACTTCCATAGGAATTTCCCCAGCTAGTTAGTTCTGTGAAATGAAATCAAATTGGCATAATTCCTATCATCCCACCCCATGTGGCACCCCACTCTTCGGACTATCCAACACATGGGTCAGATCTCGTATCACAAATTTTATTAATAGGCAGAATTAACACAAAAGCATTACACATTAATTTCATAGCTGGTATACGGGACTGAAAAGCCCCTGGAACTCCACCAAATTCCTGGCCTTCTGAGCTTAGATGAAGATTTTGGAAAGTTTTCAGAGTCTTTTTGTTTTTGTTGATTTCTGTGATTTATTTTCACTACTACAATATGCCTTCCTGGTGTTCCCAGTAAGAATACTAAGTGCTCACAACGTGCCAGGCATTTGACTTACTTTTTCCCTTTCTATTTTCTATTGTCCTATTTACAAATGAGGAGCTGAGGCTGAGAAATGTTAAGGAACCTGTTGTCAATACATCACTTAGCTGTTAAATCCAGAACTGAGATCCAACTCAATCTTGGTGTGGATCCAAAGCTTGGTCTCCAAGCCACTACAGGCCCCTGTGCCCCCATTGTAAACGGCCCCACTCTGCCTTCCTGAAATGAACAGTCTCCCAATAGTCAATGCCCACCTTTATCCTTATGTAAGCTGCTTCATCGGCTCTCAGAATGATATTTAGAAACCAAGATCTGGGGACTGTTTTTGCTCATTACTATTGAGATGTCACTGCTTCCAAGTTCCTTCAGGAGGTATTTCTAATCAATACATGTGTGTACATATGTATTTATGCATGAATGGACATGTATATGTGAATACATATATGTAAATGCGTGTACATTTCTATGTTGATGTTTTTATATTAAAAACTATGAGTTTACACCAATACTTCCAATTCTAATCCACCACAAATTTCATTCTAGTTTTCTTCCTTTCTATACTTTTTTTTTTTTTTTTTTTTTTTTAGAGAGAGCACACACATGAGCAGAGAAGGGGGCAGAGGGAGAGAGGGGATTTTAAGCAGGCCCCGCACTCAACACAGAGCCCAACATGGGCTTGATCCCATGACCCTGGGGTCATGACCTAAGTCAAAATCAAGACTCAGATTCTCAATGAACTGAGCCACTCAGGTGCCTCTCTTCATTTCTATACTTTTAATCCATTCTCCAATTGTGGGAACCTGGCCCTTGTTATCCTTAACATTTTATCAATATTCCTGAATATAATCAATCTCCCATTACCTCCACTGTCCTCCCCCCCACCCCCACCCCATGCAGATACCCTTCTCATCTCACTTCTATACAAATACTCTATTCCAGGCTACTTTACTCTCAGTATCAAAGCCCTCTCATGCCATTTGGGCTCTCAAGTGCACTGAGCCACCCCGGCATGAATGCCCTTTATTGTCTATTCAAGTTCTGACTCTCCACACCAGGATGCGCCCATGTGTGGTTGCCTTCCTTCCTTTTTTGGGCTCCAGCACCCAATTCTGAATCATCCCCATGCATGGATATTCCCCTAGTTTCTCTGGGTTCTAACCTTTCACATTTGGCCACCCCTGAGTAGAGGTCCTTCTCATCTTATTCAGGCTCTGATGTCCCATGCTTGTGAGTCATTTTTTTTTAAAACATTCTTATGACTCACCTGAAGTACTTGTGAGATCTTATGTATAAAAGAAACAGAGGTAAGCTTGAGATAAGCTTTTGTACCAAGTACCAGGTTTAAAACCAACAAGTGTAGCAAATAAACAAAAAATTAAAAATAAGTTGTACACCTGAAGTCAACTATACTCAAAAAAAATAATTACAAAAAAAAAAAAAGCAACAAGGGTAGCATGTTAAAAATCAAGTGACCAAAGGAAAAAATGAATAAATTGGACTTCAAAAATTTTAAATTTGTGCTTCAAAGGACACTATCAAGAAAGTGAAAGACAATTGCTTATATATAATAGATCAGCTTATATATAAATAAGTATATGATATATATATGTATATATTTAATAGACCTTCTTCCAGTGAAGATGTACAAATGGCCAACAACCATATGAAAAGATGCTCAACATCATTAGCCATTAGGGAAATACAAATCAAAACCATGAGATACCACGTAACACCTACTAGTACGGCTGTAATATTTTAAAAGACAGATAATAAAAAGATCACGCTAAGGTGTGGAGATATTGGAACTTCGGTGAAAGTGATACAGCTACTTAGCAAAATAGTCTGGCAGTTCCTCAAAAAGTTACACAGTGTTACTATTTGACCCAGCAATTCCACCCTTGAATATATACCCAAGAGAAATGAAAGTATATTTCCACCTAAAAACAGTCCCCAAAGCTAGAAACAATCCAAAAATCCATCAATGAGTGAGTGGGTGATATATCTATATCTGAAATATGATATATCTATACAATGGAATAGTATTCCATCGTATACTATTGAATGCTATTCAACCATAAAAAAGAAGTACAAATACATGTAACAACATGGATGTACCTTAAAACATTATGCTAAATGAAAGATGCCAGTCACAAAAGATCACATATTATATTATTTTATTTATATTAAATGTCCAGAATACAAAAATCTATAGAGACAAAAAATAGTTAGTGGTTGCCTAAGGCTGGTGGGGATGGGGGAATTGAGGGGAGAGGGAATGATAGCTAAAGGATGTAGAGTTTCTACATGTATGTAGGGCACTTGGGTAGCTCAGTTGTTTAAGCGTGGACTCTGGATTTTGGCTCATGTTATGATATCACGGTTTGTGAAATCGAGCCCCACGTCAGGCTCTGCACTGACAGCACGGAGCCTGCTTGGGATTCTCTCTACCCCTCTCTCTCTGTCCCTACCCCACTCACACTCTCTCAAAAATAAATAAATAAACTTAAAAAAATAATAAAATAAAATTGATGGTGATAATGGTCACACAACTCTGTAAATTACAAAAACTATTGAATTGTGCATTGTAAATGAGTGAATTGTATGGTATGAACTATATCTGAATAAAGTCATTAAAAAAAAAGTTCTCTGTCTGATCAGGAGGTGAGGAAGAGGCTTTACCAACTTTCAAGTTACTCTTCTTACACAACCCTATCTCTCATATACCCAGCCATCCTTGAATTCAAGTCAGGGCCTTCCCCAGGGGCTAATCACCAGGTCTCTGCAATGGTCTCTGGTTCCTGCAATGTTTTTGTATATATTTTCTTGTCAAAATAAACAATAAAGACAAAAGAAAAGGAAAAGATATAATAAATATCTATTCTTTTTCTCTACCACAAACAACTTCTTCTCCTTTCTTATTTCAGAGCCCTGTATTTCCTTGGGAAACTACCCCACCCCACTTTTAGTACTCATTGTTTGGGTGCACCTGACCACGCCCCAAGTTCAAGAAATGATCACATGCTATTGGCTTGCACTGATCAACATAAGTACCACCATATGTAGCAATAAGTCTGGCTACGGTGATTGGCGCAAGGATGAAAGAAGGAATCAAGTTAACCCAAACAGCATATATCCCAGAACCTTTGGGAGAGTTTATAGCAAAAGAAGTGTTTTCCATCTTGGGACTGTGAAGACATAAGCCTGAAACTCCTGGGAACAGATGGGGCACACCTGACCCAATGAACAGAACAAGGAGATGGAGCAAGACAGCTTCCTAAAACCTATTCCGAGTATCAGAATTCAGCCATGCTAGATGTTACATCTACTCATGGATTTTAAATTTACAAGAGGTAATAATTCCCACTCCTCTCTTTGTTTTGCTGTTTTGTCTGATCCTGTTTGGATTGAGGTATCTATAATGTGTGAAAGAAAGAATACTCCCAGATACAGACATTTATCAAAGTCAACTATAATAGGAAGGAGGATGTCCAAGTGGAAGAAACTGAGTAATGGGAGGTTGAGCTCTATATTTATTTCATAACAGGTTTTATCTTTTTTTGACCATCCACTTTATGGAGCTGAGAATACTAAGGCTCATGGTCACACTTAGTTAATGAAAGAACTATGACTTAAACTCAGGTCTTCTGACTACAAACTCAATTCCCTTTATAACACTCTGCCACAAAATTACTACACATAACTACATAATACAAAGCAATGTATATGTGTATACATTTATACATTTATACCCACTTCCGCTATCTCCTCCAAACTCTGAGACAGCAGTATAAGGGAGAGTTGGATAGGAGTCTGTCAATGGTAACCTCCCAAATATCTTCTATGTGATCCTTCCATCCCCACTGTCACTGTCTGTGGTTAGCTCTCACCTCCCAAGTTCCTTGCTGAAAAAAATTGTACATTTTCTTCTATTAATACATATTTTCATCTTTCATATTTATGCTCTTAAATAATCTTTAGTTTACCTCTGTACATAATGTTAGGAAGAGATCCAGTTTTATTGTTTCCATATGGCAACTTAGTTTCTTATCAATTTCTGTGTTAACAACATCAGTGTTTCTTATTGCATCTTTGTAATATGCCCTAATATCTGATAAAGCAAGACCTACTTTTTATTCTACATTTCTAAGGTTGACTTAGCTATTTATGGACTTTTACTCTTCTCTGTGAGTAAGTTAACAAATTCCTTAAAAGTTTCGACTAAAATTTTGATGGAATCTACATTGAATTTATTAATTAATTTGGGAAAGTTAGTATCTTTTTAATAAGTTATCCCAGGAGCGCCTGGGGTGGCTCAGTCAGTTAAGCATCTGACTCTTGGTTTTGGCTCAGGTCATGATCTCATGGTTTGTGAATTTGAGCCCCTCATCAGATTCTCTGCTGTCAGCTCAGAGTCCACTTTGAATCCTCTGTTCCCCTGTCTGAGTGGAGTGGCAGCCCTCCCCCACTCGTGGTCTCTCAAAAAATTAAAATAATAATAAGAATATTATTATTATTATTATCCCACCCAAATGCATGGAATATCTTCTCAGTTGTTCAGATCATCCTCTGGTCCTAGGTCATTTATCACAGTTTGACATTTTTCTCCATAAGTATATTGCTGCTAAATTAAATGGTGTCTTTTCTTAAATTGTATCTTCTAGTTTACTGTTTTTGATGTAGAGAAATGAAACTAATTTGTGTATGCTGTGTTGGTATCAGAAACATTGTTCAACTCTATTATTCTAAGTTCATAATTTGATTCTGTTGGTTGTTCTCTATAGATGATTATATTATCTGGAAAAATATTACAGTTTTATCTCTTATACCCCATCAGCTTTTTTTTTCTTTCCTAATACCATTGATCAAGACAGTAATATCATCAGTAATATTGGACAGTGTTTTCTTTTTCCTGATCTCAAAGGAATATATTTAAGATTTCTCCATTTGTTTTCATGTTCACTGTTAAGTAATTATATACCACACATTAAATTAATTATACTTTAAAACTTGGGTAGAAATTGGAATGCCTGCCTGGCTCATTTGGGAGAGCATGTAACTCTTGATTTCAGGGTTATGAGTTCAAGCCCTATGTTGGTATAGAGATTACTTTAAAAAAAAAAAAACAACTTTGGGTAGAAATTATCTGTATAACCATGTAGGCCTCGAGACTTTGTTATGTTTTATTTAATCCTTATCGATCTTTTCCAGTTCCCACTTTCTTCTTGCATTATTTTTGCAGTTTTGTGTTTCTTGGGTTTTGTCCATTTCATTTAGTCTAAATTTATTTTATTTTAAGTTTATTTATTCATTTTGAGGAGGGGGTGAGAGAGAACCAGTGGGAGAGGTCAGAGAGAGGGAGACAGAGGATCTGGAGTGGGCTCTATGCTAACAGCAGAGAGCCTGAAGCAGGGCTGCAACTCATGAAACATGAGATCATGACCTGAGCCAAAGCTGGACGCTTAACTGACTAAGCCCTTCATTTAGGTTTTAAAATGTATTTACCTACAGGAGTGCTGGGTGGCTCAGTTGGTTAAGCATCTGACTCTTGAATTTGGCTCAGGTCATCTCTCCCTCTTTCTCTGCCCCTCCCCCATTAACACTCTCTCTCTCAAAAATAAATAAACAAGAACTTAAAAAAATGTATTTATATATACTTATTCATAATATTATTTTTATTAAGTTTTCATTTCTGTTGAGACTGTGGTTAATTTCCCCCTTTTCATATTCTATTCTCTCTCTCTCTCTCTCTGAATCTTGCCAGGGATTTTCATCTCATCTAATATTTCATTAGTATTTTCTATCTTTTAAAAAATATTATTGGTTTTATTTATTTTCTTATTATTTGCTTTCTTCTTGTTTCTTAGATATTACTGTTTTTCACATACCATAATTACTTAGCTGCTTTGTTTTAAAACTATCTTGTTTCTTAATAAATATATGTAAATTATCATTTATTTCTCTAAGAACTGCCTTATCTGTGATCCAAAAGTGCTTACATGTAGTATTTTCATTATAATTTTTTTTTAATTTTTTAATGTTTGTTTATTTTTGAGAGAGAGAGAGAAAGACAGACAGAGCACAAACATGGGAGGGGCAGAGAGAGAGAGACACACACACAGAATCTGAAGCAGGCTCCAGGCTCTGAGCTGTCAGCACAGAACCCAACATGGGGCTCGAACTCAAGGACCATGAGATCATGACCTGAGCCACAGTCAGACGCTCAACTGACTGAGTCACCCAGGTGCCCCTCATTATCATTTATTTCTAAGTACTAATTTACTCTACACTTCCCTTTTTAACATAAAGATTATTTAGAAATATGTAACTTAATTTTCAAATATGTGAAATTATATCCTTTTGTAATTAAATTTTAACTTCATTGCAATACGCTTAGGCAAAACTCCACTCAGAAATCACCCTACTGGGCAATGGGAAAGGGAAATGCTCACAATAGGATTGTCTACTGTACTGAACTGAATAGTGTCCTATCCCTAAATACATGTCCACCCAGAACCTATGAATGTGACCTTATTTGGAAATAGCATCATTGCAGATGTAATCAAGTTAAGATGAGGTCATACTGGACTAAGGTAGACCCTAACCCAGTAACTGGTGTCCTTATAAGAAGAGGGAAATTTGGACATGAATACATAGGGAAAATGCCATGTGACTGCAGAGGCAAAGATTGGGGTGATACATTTGGAAGTCAAGGAACACCAAGGAGTCCCAGCAGCCATCAGAAGCTAGGAAGAGGAAAGAAATAATCAGTCCCTAGAGCCTTCAGAGAGCATGGCCCTATTAACGCTTAGATTTCAGACTTTTAGCCTCCAGAACTATGAGATAATAAACTTTTGTTGTTCTAAGCCACCTCATTTGTCACTTAGAAATGAGAAAACTAATATATCTGCCTTGTCTGATGTGAGAAGACAGATTATGTACCTACCCTTATTCATGTGTGGTTGCTAACAATTTGATTGGATGGTTAGGGCTAAGTACACAGATTGAAAAAAAGTATGGAGAAGAAGAATGTTGGTGGTCTTCCTGGAAAGGACACAGACTGCGAATATATTTTTGTCTGTGTGAATGATCACCAAAAGAGATTCACTACAGAGGAGGCTCTTAATAATCAAGTGGACAAAATGGCATGTTCTGTGGATGTCAGACAACCTCTTTCCCCAGACACCCGGTGCTTTTTCAATGGGCCCATGAATAAAGACTATGGCAGGGATGGAAGCTAGCCATAGACTCTGCTACATGGACTTCTCATTACCAAGGCTGACCTGGCTAATGCTATTGCTGAGTGCCTTATCTGCCAACAGCAGAGACCAGCACTGGCCCCCTGATAAGGCACCATTGCCCAGCCACCTGGTAGTTGGTTGATTACATTGGAATCCTTCCATTGTTGAGAGGGCAGAAAATCTTCCTCACTATAATAGACACATATTCCGGGTATAGATGTCTTCTCTATCCATAATTCTGTCAGGACCTCCATCAATAGACTCACAGTGTCTTATTCACCATTATGGTATTCTGCACAGCACTGCGTCTGATCAAGAAACTCATTTCATACCAATAGAAATACAGCAGTGAACTTAAGCCTATAGAACTAAGTGGTCCCACCACATACTGCATCATCCGTAAGTGGCTACTTTAACTTAACAGTGGAATTGCTTACTGAAAACTCAGTTATAGTACCAGATGTGAGACAACGTCTTCAGAGACAGGATTCTGTCTTGAAAAATGCAGTGCATACTTTGAATCAGAGGTCATTACATAGTGCTGTCTCCTCCAGAGCCAGAATACGTGGATTTGGGAATCAAGGGATGTAGGTGGGAGTGGCGCCTCTCGCTATTATATCACCTAATCTACTCACAAAATTTTTGCTTCCCATCCATGCAGCTCTGAGATTTGCTGTTTTTAAAGGTCTTCATTCCAGGGGCATGTGGTGGCTCAGTCAGTTAAGCAGTAGATTTCAGGTCATGATCTCACAGTTCGTGGGTTCGAGCCCTGCATCAGGCTCTGTGCTGACAGCTCAGAGCCTGGAGCCTACTTCAGAGTCTGTGTCTCCCTCTCTCTCTCTCTGCCCCTCCCCTGCTCACAGTCTCTCTTTGTCTCTCGTCTCTCAAAAAATGAATTAAAATGTTAAAAAAAAAAAAAAAAAAAAAAGGCCTTTGTTCCAAAGGGAGGAATGCTTCCATCAGGGGACACAACAATGCATGCTCTAAATTGGAAGGTAAGGCTGCCAGCTGGCTCTCTTGGGCTTCTTATGTCACAAAACCAAAAGGCAGTAAAAGGAATCTCTCTACTGCTGGACTGATCCCAGTTACCAAGAGGGAATTTAGGTTGCTGCTAACCCATGAGTACAAG